CTTGAATAGTTCACTTCATCAGCCTATACCTACAACAGGAAGCTGTGTATTTCCTATTTATATCAGGAACCTCACCAGCCAGAAACTGGTCGTCCTCAAGGTGTCTGTGGTGGCTTCTGGAATCTCTAAGTGGTGATCCCCACAAAGCAAGGGAGCTTGCAATTGTCGTCCTGTTGGCTTCCCTGTCCCACCTCTCTGCTTTGTCCCCCTGGGCCTCCCCATTTCTTGCTGTGGGCACAGCTGTTGAGGTGTACCTCACTAGGGCCACTGCCCATCACAGAAGTGCCCAGGGTGCCAATTCTGGATCCTTCCAGAGCTGGAGCCTGGCAGAGCAGGGAGAGGACTCTCACTGGGCCTGAGGTCCTCATCACTTGGGACCCAGGGAGGCCCTTATGCCCAGCATCTTGTAGATTTGCTCTTGAACAGATTAACCAGCTTGAGGCCATTATGCATAGTCCAGAAACTCACTGAGTCTTCAGAAAAACAGTCCTGGAAATGTCTGGCTTTGCTCCTATGATCCCAGAAATGCAAAGCAGCCTTGGGGAGCAGGAAGTGGGTCAAAGAAGTCCTGGCATCCCTTCTGTGTTCATGAGGACTCTGCCGATGTAAACGACACCCAGAAACCCAGTGCCAACTAGCTTTGACAGCAATGGGATTTAACCGGCAGCAAAGCTGAGAAGTGGGGAAGAGACCCCCTGTAGGGAAGGACTTCAGGAGGACAGGGCTTCCCCTCCCCTCCCCGTATTTCCTCACTCCCTTCTCCCTCTTTTCCCCTCTCCTGTCCTCCCCCTACCTTCACTTCTCCCGCTCGTTTATTTCCCATCTCCCACTTCTTGTGCAGACAGTCCCTCTCCATGTGGCAGGGAGGGTCCCAGATTCACATTTCAGTGACCCTGGACAGATTCCTGTTCAGTCACCCTACTGGAGAAGGAACCTCTTTCCCAGTGTCCACGTGCATACGGATTCCAAGGCAGGAATGTGATTGGCCTGCTTGGGATGGCGCTGATTCCAGGGGCGCTGGGTGCTCTGGTCAGTTGGGCTGGGGTCAGGTGCCAGCCCATGCTCGGGCTTGCGGGGAGCTCTGTTTCCAGCCAAAGCAGGGGTCCCAGCCAGAACAAAGCCTACAAGAGCCCTGTGGCCTCTGCTAACCTGTTATTTGGCTGTAAATTGCCTTCTTCTGCCTTGCATTTCCCAGCACCCTGTTGGGGCGGGTGGGCCTGCGAGGGGGTGGGGTCAGGACTCTTGTCAGCCAGCATGTCAGTCATTTGTCTGATGCTGTGTCCCTGTCTGGACTCTGGCTCTGTTTGATCCAGTTATTTCTGACTTAAACACTCTGAGGACCTGGAATCTGCCCTTTTTAAACGACTGTAATGAGGATGCACTTCTGCCCCTGCCCCAGCCGGCGGAGCCCACCCTCCCTCCTCCTCCGGCCTCCGTGCAGCCAGGGCCAGGCTGCCTCCACCTTCTGTTCTCAGGACGCTGCCGCCTGTCCTCTTCTCTCCTGTCAGAGGGGTAAGGGAGCCCCGTGCTCCTCGGGCACCATTTCTTTCAAACTTTTGGATTCTTCCCTGAATCTTCTCCCTTCTTTAAAGGCTCAGACCTTGGAAACCCAGGGCCAGTGCACCTGCCTTCCCTGCGCCTGTGCCAGTCCTCCACCCAAGCAAAGGGCAAGAATATCCTAATGGCTGGACTGTGATGGGGAAGCGAAGGGAGAAATCCCAGGTGGAGATCAGGGGATTTCTCCCTGCAGGGCCAGCCCAGGCGGCTGCGCTCTCAAGCTCTGGGGCGAGGCTGGGTCGACCTCAGGAGCTGTGGGTGTCTGCAGGTCGGGGCTGGAAGGCTTTTTGCTGCCTGATTAACACCTGAGTTGACTTACATTCACGCGTCTCTCCCAGAATCCGTCCTGTCTAGTATGCTCGCCCTTCAAGGGGTGAGGGGAAGAGACGTGCTAAGCATAGAATGGGGGTGTCACTCCCTGACTCAGAGGATCACAACTCATTAATTCCTGTCAGCCTCCAGGAGTCTCAAACCGTACACTCTGCTTAAGCGTTAATGGACATGAGGAGTAAGGGGCTATGAGGCTGCTTATTTTTAACCAGGCACTGACAGCTCCTGAGGAGGGCAAGGTGTCTTGGGCTCCCGGGGACAAGCAAGCAGACGTGAAGGAGTCTTGTCAGGCCTTCCCAGGCCTGCAGCCACTTGGAGAAGTTATGAGAATTGCATCCGAGTGAAGGAATCTCACCCACCCTGGGCTATGTTGACCAACTTTTTGTCTTCCTGGCCTTGTTGGGAGGGAGGGGGCTCGGTGATGGGCAGAGGAGGCGTCTGCTTTCTCGTGTGTGAGCACACGGCCTTTAGGAATAGCTCTGAGACTAATTGGGAGTTTTTGCCCAGGAAGTGTCACTAGGATTTGTAGAGTCCTATTAGGAGCCATCAGAAGGTGACAAGTTGCTGGAGAACTCACTGCCTAACCAATGGTTACCCAGAGACTTGGACAGGCTGCCACTCCCAGGTTCCACAAGCACCCCAGGCGGGTCTGCACTGCGTGTGTGTGGCCCAGGCACAGAGTCTGAAGGAGCTTAGTAGTCATGGAGGCTCCTGCAGCTGGGGGCTCCTTCCGTGCTGTGGCCAGCAGGGACCCAGCCGTGGTGCTGCTGAACCTGCCCTGGGCAGCAGTAGGGGATGGCTTGTGATTCCTGTACTTGCCAGATTTTCTGAGCTCGATGATGCCATCTGAAGGAATTGTAGAAAATGGGGCCCAGCAGGGATGCCCTGAACGACGACTCTTTGACCCTGTGCCAGTGCACAGTGGAAATAAACAGAGCCAGCTCCCTTCATGGAGCTGTCTCGCCAGCACTGGAGGCAGGTGTTGTACGCATGCCTTCGAGTTACAGATGAAGTAGCGACAGATGTGCAGAGGGCTGTGGGGGGTGGACAGGCTGCTTTGGGTAGAGTGCAAGCCTTGGCTGGTGTCAGGGAGGGCCTGGGGCCTCTCTCTTCCCTGTCTGTCCTTGAGCTCCTCCCAGACTACCTTTCTCCTGTTTTTCTTTTCTCCAAGAACCGCTTCCTCCGCCTGGCTAATTCAACAGGAGCCAAGTTGGTGGGGGAAAAGGGGGGAGGGAGGTTGTCAGAGCCCCAAAAATCACTAAGCGCTTGTGCCTGGCTCCAGGCTGATCGCTTTACCAGCCTCAGTTCCAAGGCCTCTCCATCAGCGTTCCATGAAAGTGGGGTCCCCCTCTCCACCTCCCCATCCATCTGGCTGCCATGAATCCATTCCTGGACTACCTTCGCCTCTCAGATGTGTCATCTAGAGCCCAACGGATGGGGCTTTCCAGGTTTTAATTACTCAGCGGGACTTGTTTTCCTTTATCTCCCAAAGGGGCCAACTTGAGACTTAAGTGTGATAGGAAGAGGGTGCCCAGGATTTGAAAATGGGGTTGCTAGCTGCCTCTGGTTGAAGGCAGATGGGAAATTGAATAATGCATCATAGAAGTGTTTATTAGCATTCTGACGAAGGTAAGTGAGGGATCTGAAAGGACATCTTCCAGAAGTGCTGGTAATTTGTCCCTTACATGAATCAATTCCTCTTCCTAGAAGGCATGTCATCCTCCCTTCTCAGAGTCCTGGCTTAAAAAAGGAGCCCCACTGGATGCTTATGTGTCTCATGCCCAGGACTGGACAAGGGGTCAGCAACACCTGCGGAGTGAGTGCAGTCAGCACCAGCGGGCTTGGGGGGCCACGGCTGAGCTGTTGAGGAAAGCTGCAGGTGTTCTCCCCAGAACAACATGCCGTCACAGAGACCCCCTCACCATCCGATGGGCACTTGAGGATTTGCGGGTTCTGTGAAATTCATCCACATACCCTTGAATGGACCCCAGGTGAAAAACTCCTGGACCAGAGTTCATGTCTCTAAAGCTCTCTGCCTATACCGTGTGCCCCCGGTACCACTGGGTACCTCTTCCCTTCTTGTTTGAGCACTGGAAGGTGGTGGCAGGAAGGCCCAGGGATGGAGCCACATTTCAGAGCATCTTCTCCAGTCACCCATCTTAGCTGCCAGGGGCCCTACAAATGTGGGCTTTCCCCTCCAGAAACTGGGAAAATTTGGCAAAACTGGGCCTGTCTTCCTTACAGTGACAATTGGCTGGGCTGTGTGTGTGGCTTGCTTTAGATAAGACACAGCTGTCAGGTTTGTCAGAGCCCCTCCCCTTCTTCCAACTGCAGTTCTGTTTATCACTCCATTTGATCTGCTCTTTTCTTAGAGCAGAATTACATAAAAAATTTTCTCTGCAGATACACTGTATATCATGAAACAAAGCCCCTGCAGACATGCACATAATATAAAACGCACACACATGCATGCAAATACTTTGCCCTTCCCGAGGGTCTGCAAGGCATCTGGATTTGGCCCTGAGCTGCCTCTTCACGGGGCTGCTGTGATGGTTCAGCGGACTGACGCAGGCACGGGCCTCAGCGCTGTGCTGGGGTACACGGCAAGCGCTCTCAGGGCGTCTGGCCCGTGTAACGAGTGAGGGTTTCCTTTGGGGCTGTGGGCGCTCCTGGAATTCAGCGGTATCGTCTGCCTGCCCGGAATGGGCGTTGTTGGGGCCGGGGCGCCCTCTGGTGGCCGCTCTCCCCATTCACACCCAGGTCCCTCCGTTTAACCAGGCACCCCCTCCCCTCCCATTCTCACTGAGACGGTGGAGGCGGGTGGGCAGGAGAAAATGTTCCGCTTCCCTCACGATTTCCTTTGCTTCCTTCCTGACAGTGTTGGGGTCACTGGGTCTGGGGTGGGAGGAGGTCCAGGGAGGTGGGGGGTCTCTGGGGCATGACACTCAGCCAGGGGGTGGTCTTGTCCCTGCTCACACGTGCCCCATTGTGTCCCCGGGGAAGTGCTTGTCCGAGGCCCCTGCGGCCACCTCCGGATGGCGCAGGGCAGCAGGAGGGCAGCGCATCCACAGGGCCTCCCCGGGTTATGACGAGGTAATTTTATTTCCATTTTAGGTAAAAATAGTAAATACAAGATAATCTTAATAAAGGTAAAAATACATCATTTAGATTTTGTTGTTCTCTAAACAGTGTTACCTACAGTACAATTTTTGATTTAAGATTTTTAAATTTTTTTTTTTATAAACAAATAGAACTATTTTGCTAGTAGGCTATCTGTGTTCTCAGCTGGCACTTAAGAATAGATCACAGGTCACCTCCCGGTTCCGTTGGGATGTGTGTGGGTGGCAGGGAGGGAACGAGGAAGGGCACATGGGATGAGGTGGTTTGTGGTCTCGGGTTGCAGACAGAGCTGTGGTCCGTGTGCAGCAGGAGGGCACGTGTGTGCATCCAAGAAGGCCTTTTCCTGTGCTGGCCACAGGGACACACGTCACTGTGACTGGACCAAAGGGCCCACACGTGTCTGGAGCACTTCCTCCCCTCTTCCTAAGGTCGCCGTTCTTACCCAACGGCCTAGATTCACAACAGTTCTGTGTCCAGGAAGGCCACCAGGCTGCAGATGTCAGCAAGGCTGCTCAGGACCGAGCCAGTGGGTCCCCGCAGTGTCCTAGAGGAGTGGGCCTGGGACCCCTCCCCACCAGGGCTGGTGGCCAGGGCACCCCACCTGGCCTTAGAATGCTGGTAGAGGTCACAGATGCCGGTGCAGGCTGCTAAATGTCTTTGCCCTTGTTGACCCTCAGGTGATCTTTGGTTAAATTCTTCCCGAATTTCTCACTGAGCTGCTGGATCAGGTCTGCCAGCTCACCGGTAGCTTGAGATTTCTCTTCAAGAAGCTCATAGCGCAGGCTGGAGATATCTTGCTTGATTTCCTTCAGTTCACCTGCAAAGACAGATGAGATTTTGGTGAGCAGGAGCGGGCAGACGGGGCTCGCCCCACGCACGTATGTTTGGGGCCTGCGTCTTCCCAGCAGGATGTCAGGTTGCTGGCCCAGCCTTCCAGGGGTGGAGGGGAGGGAAGGGGAGCTCTGTTTTGACCTGAGTACCCCCCAGCTCCTACCACTGAAGGGCATTTAAAACTCTTCTCCCATTTCTGGTCAAGCTCTCTGTTAAGGGTCTGAGGTGGACAGAGGAGTCAAGATCAGGGTTGTGAATTGCTAGCACCTACATTCTAAAAACCATGATAGATTTTGTTGTTCTCTAAACAGTGTTACCTATCATAGTTTTTAGAATGTAGGTCTTGGAGCCAATAAAGACAGAGGGCAACACCCTCATTGAATGGAACATTTTTTTTCATTTGTTCTGTTGTTATTTACAGAAAGAAGAAACTCCCAAGTGTGAAGGGAACTGCTCAGCACAGCGGACATCACCACGGAGCCACGCAGCCTCACGGAAGCTGGGTCCAGCCACACCAGGCCAGCGGCTCTGCCACCTCCTCTCCCCAGACAGCAGGTGACCAGCAGGTGGGATGTTCTCTTACTTCCCCAGTGAACCTCATCCTTAGGAATCCACATGGGCCTGGGCTGTTGGATTCTTTTTCCTTGAAAGGCTCCTTTCTGATGTTATAGACAGTAGACTTAAGTGGGAGTCCACTGCCTGGAAACATATTATTCGTATCTATTTTCTAGGTATACCTTACATAAGAAAATGCAGATATCTTAAAGGTACAGTCTGGCCAATTTGGACAAATGCGTACTATTTTATTTTCATCAGGGGCCTCAGTGAGCCTCTGTTTCCTGGTGTGAGTCTAGTGGCATGAGACCTGGGCTGGCCCACCTTCTAGAATCGGGTACATTCCTGTCAGTCACAGTCATACACTGCTCAAGCCTGGCCGGCATGGCACCTGCAGTTTTATGTTTGAAGTAGGGGTGGGTGGATGGGCTGTGCTCAGCCCCTAGAAATTGTCAGCTAAGGGGTGAGTTCAGTCCTTGTTGACCTTCAGGCTGCACGCTGATGCCCCAGGTGAGTCTGAGGGTCACTGAAGACCAGGTTCAGGGGGCCCCTGAGGCCCAAGAAAGGAGGACACTTAGTGCCTTTGTTCATGGCTGAGGCTGTTTCTAGGTAGCAAATATTTGTCCTCGGTGTCTCACGAAGATTAATTACTTGGTATCAGGTAATGTGCTTTTCATTTAAGAGTACCTGCTTAAGTAGACTAGAAAATAACCTGAACAGTGAAAATAATGTAGTTGGCAAACTTCACTGTGCATGGGACTGACCTGGTGTTCTTATCAAAATGCAGACTCCCAGGCAGCACCCCAGAGATACAGATCCATTAGGTGTGGGTGGGGTCTGGGATCTGCTCTTGGTTAGAGCCAAAGCCAGCCAGGGAGCACAGACCCCAGTGCCAGGACTGCGTGGACCTGCATTCTACTGATGACTGACAGAGTGAGGAAACCAGGCCTCCTCGGGGCCCCCAGAACGCAGCCCTGCTGACCCCACTTGGCTGGTGGCCTGGTCAGAGCGTGTCTGACTTCTGACCCTCAGGAAGCTAATCCAATCACCCACCTTCATTGACTTCATCGTTTTCTCTATCCACCTGGGCCTTCAGGACATATCTTTTTATGAGCCGTTTCATGATTTTCTGAAATGTGAACACAAGGGAGGGATCAAACAAGCCTGGCTGAGCACAGAGGCAGCCGGCACGGTGTAGGCACAACTGCTGGGGATCCTCCCACCCCTGGCGCCTCACTTCTGAGGCGTACCCTGCTTGGTGGGGAACCTGGGCCAGTCTCTCAATTTAACTTCTTGCCCCAGAATTCAGTACCTCCTGGTCTCAGGATGTAAAGACAGGACACTCCATGGCAGAAGGCACAGCCCCAGGAGGGAGAAGCATCTAAGATCCCACCGGGGTCTTAGGCCTGACTTGACCCTGACCTTCTTAGTGACCTTAGCCAGTCATATCCTCTTCTTGGGCTTCAGCTCTGAAACTCTTTCTTCTATTTCAACAACTACTGTGAACAGGAGGGAGGGAGTCTTGCGGTCTCAGCAGGGCAGCTCAGGTGGAGCTGTGTCTCTCTGAGGTGCTGGGCTTAAGAGGGGATTCACTTAGTCCAGTCAGGACCAGGTTTAGGGCACCAGTCCATCGCACCTTGGAAAATTCCTACCAGAGGCAGAAATAGACAGAGCCGGGCCTTGGGAGGTTTTGCCAAGATCCTGCTGCCCTGAAGTCCCACAGGCCTGGCACCGCACTGCCAGTCATGCCGGGTGGGGGCTGGGTCTGGCCTGCAGCTTCCATTTATTACACAGACACTGGCTCTGTAAGCTAATGAGGTGTGAATAAACACCTAAGAGACACCGTGAATAGAGCCAAGTGTAAGGAGACTGCAGGAGGTGAACTTTAGGATTTTGCCAACTAGTCTTTCCAGGGTTTCTGTGAAATCACAGGATTTAAAAATATTCTGGTAGCTCAGACTCTGGACTCTTTCAAGAGCTGAGCAGCCAGCAAAGAAGGGGGGGCTGGAGTCCCTGTTTCTTGGTCATCCTTCTGTGTGAGCTGTCCCTGCTCACCCTGAGGGCTGAGGGGACAGAGATTCTAGATTGGAGGGGCCTGAATTCCATTCCCAGCTTCACTGTGTGATGTCAGCAGATTGTCTCGGGCCACAAGGGCTCAGGAAGAGCTGCTTACAGTGTAAGAGAAGTGAGCTGCCGGGAGGCAAAGCGCTGGACGATGGCTCATTACCACCAGCAGCCAGTGGCTCTCTCAGTGCCTCTGCTGGTGAGGACCTGGCCTAGGAGGCGTCTGCAGTCCTTCAGGAGAATGTGGAAGGGCTCTCCAGGGTGAGCAAAGGCGCCGCTCCTGTGGGCCAGGGTCCTCTTGGCCTGTGGCTGGAGTCATGATCTGATTTCAGGCTGAGCAGTTACTCAGCAAGGTGCCTTCTCGGGGAGGCCTGGGTCTATCATGTCAGTAGTTACACCTCGGCGCTAGACTTCTCACTGACATGCTTCTAGTCAATAAGGCAGGCTGCCCGAGTCACAAGAATATATGCCTTTCCATGGGGCTCAATGATTTTCTTGATGTTCCATTGGAAAAACAGGACAAAACAAAACAAAAACTGTTCTGAACCAGTTCTCATGGGGAAAAAACCCCCCCCCAAATCCAAGTATCTAACGTTCTTACTGAATAAGGAGTTCGGAAGGATTCTTCCCCTGCAAACCTTCAGGCTGATGGAAGTCAAGGGGATCTAGTTCAAGTTGGTTGCCTTTTTAAGGAAAACCTCCAGAATGAAGCGATCTGCAGTTTCTGGATCCATCAGTCAGAGAGCCTTTAGATTTATGAGGTAAAATTATAAGTCAGAGGTTGGAAGGGAAGGTTCTCTCTCCTGTGACGGTGTTGGGCAGAATGTCCTCACAGCCGTGGAGGCAGGTCTCGCCCTCCCGGCCCACTGTGCACACTGGGTTTTAGTGTAACGTGATGGAGCCGGTTATTTAAAAAGTTTCCACAGTATGTATTTATTCTTCATAGAAGACGTGCCCCTCCCTCTCCATTTGTCTTGAATAGGTAAGACCCCTCTCACAAGCCCCCTTCCATGTGGAGCAGCCCTCTGGGAAGAGGGGAGAAAGGCTGAAGAGCCAGCAAAGAAACAAGCGGATTGATGGCTTCCTCCAGGCAGGAGTCGTGTTTGCCTCCTTGGCAAAATGACCCGTTGACCCCCATGAACAAATGAGGACCCTGAGGCCCAGAGAGTGAGGGGACTTCCCCATGGCCACACAGGAAGTGCTGGATCTGCGATATTAACCAACATGGAAATCAAAGCTGGGGCTTCACCCCAGCTTCAGAAAGAGGTCAAGTACCAGCTACTTTAGGGCATGAGAGGCAGGAAACTGGCTCCCATCGGTCACGGGGGTTTGGGCCGCTTTTGGGTAACTGTTTGTCCTTTCAAAGAGCAGAGTCTTTTCTATAGCAGGATGCCTCAACTAGATTTCAAAGGATGGATGGCTTCATTCAATTGTTACTCCTGGGGTATTTCAATAAGAACAAATCACTACCCTTGGGGAGGAGGATCGCGGGTATGTCACTGTCACGAATGCTTGTGGCCTGCTATTGAACACGTACTTGACCTGAGCTAGGGTTGCTGCAGGCTTGCAGCTCTAAGGGGAGAGAAGCAAAGGTTTATTTTTAAGCCTCGTGTCGTGCGTTAGGATTGTAGAGGTTTAATAAGGAAGCGGAATCTCATGAGCGCTGCAGCCTGAAACCTTCCTCCTCACCCCAGTTCACTCCCAGGAGTGACAAGTACCTTGAGAGGGAACAGCGTGAACTGCCTGCCAGTTGCTTAGAGACTTGGTGTCCTGACTGAGCCCTAGCTTCCCCCTGGCGTGTGCGTGTTAGACAGCTTGGGATCTGCAGGAGCAAAACACTAGTCTTGTCCACAGGAAGTCTGAAATGGTTGGAACATGCCAAAAGTTCTATTTAAAGTGGATGATGTGAGGATATGTGTTCCCAGAAAATATGGACATTAAAGATCTCTCGTCCTTCAGTATGTGGGGGAAAGGTTTGTTTCCTTTGTGATGGGGTTGAGACATCTCTGTGCTGTCTCCATGTAGTTCTCACTCCATGATGATAATAAACTTGCCCAGTTAACATGGCCCTGCTGGTGGCACTCAAGAGCTGAGCAGCCGGCAAAGAAGGGGGGGAGTCCCTGTTTCCTGGTCATCCTTCTGTGTGAGCTGAACCTGCTCCCCTGAGGGCTGAGGGGACAGACACCAAGTCCCCTCTGGGGAAGGGACTGCATTGTAAAGGTGGGGCTGGCTGTGCCTGGCCTCTATGGCCCATTCGGGCTGCAGCTTGCTTGCTTTGCCCACGAAGGAAACGTGCCTCTGGAAGTGAACGTGCAGAGTCTGTGAGCACCCCAACAAACCGGGTCTTGGAAGAGGTCACAGAATAGCTTTGGCAGGAAGCTTTGGCCATCTCACCAAGATTATGGTTTTGTTCGATTGTTTAGTCTCATGCCACAGAGTCCAGATTGGAAAAAACACTGTGCAAGCAAGGAACCAGTTCTGTGAAAACTAACAGTAGAGATGCCCAGAAGCCTATAAGAAGAAGCAAAGCAAGGGGAGCCTTGGGCCTGAGGGAACCGCCTTCCCTGACAATGGAGAACCCCGGAGGTGGAAGGGTTGATGAGCTTAAAATAAACATGGCAAACACTAAGTGTGAAAAACCAAACCCATCTTCTGAGGAGACACAAAGGAAACAAGCTGAAAACTACATGGGCAAGAAGGACGGGGCTTCTGTATTATTGGGAACGCTGCAGCGCTCCTCAGAACACGAGCATGTGAGGGGCTGACAGCCTACGTACTCGGGAAACTGAGGCCCTGGGTGCAGCCTGGAGAGCAGGGATGAGGTGGTGAACTGGGGTCCTGTCTCTGCACCTTTGGAAGCTGCTTTGGGAAGAAAGCAACCTTCACGCCGCTTCGCTAGTTGCTGCCTGGTAAGAGCAAATGTAACTCCTGCCCCTTGCCTCCCCCACTCAGGTTCCAAAGCTCAGGGAGATCTCTTAGTGGTGGTCGAAAGCAGGCGGGGCAGGTTCTAAGGCTGGTTCTGGTCCACCACTGTGCGGATGAGTAACGGGCCAGTGCCTGGGCAGCGTGATGCAGTACAGACCGATCTCAGTTCAACTGGCTCTGTGATCTTCACCAGCGAGCCTACATGGGGTGAAGGATGCTGCCTCTCATAGGAACATGGTGAGATTGCCCCTGGCTAGTGTCTAGCCTGCTCCCAGCTGTCCTTCTGTCCATCTCACGGTGTCCTCCTATTTGAGCAGATGACGGATGCTTCAGGAAGCTGCGGACCGCACCAGGCTGGGCTGAGCAGAGTGTGAGGGCCTGGAATCCCCTGGCCCCGCTGCTGTCCTCTCAAGCCTTTCCCTCTGATGCCTGCTGGCCCAGTTTTCCTTTCTTCTTTTCTGCAGTAACTATTTGAATGAGTAGCCCCGGGCATTTCTTGGTGGATTCACAGAATACAAGGTGAGCAAGCTGTCCAAGGTCACCAGTAGCCCGAAGCTGCCATGTCAGCACAGCTGGAAGCACTCCCGGAGGCTGAGGGCCTCAGTGGCCCAACCGGGATGATGGGAGGTAAAAATGGGATTGCTCAGAGATGGCTTCTGCAAGCAGTCTCACTCATGAAGGATTCATTCTGGGTACAGGGCACTCACCGCATCATCAGTCTTCCTTTATATCAGCAGTGATTCTTCTCCAAGCCCATGAGAGACTTGGCGCTAACCCATTAGGGCTTTCTATCTTTTCTGTGACACACACAATCTATACTTCTCTCTGAGAAGCCGAGAAATAAAAACCCTTCCAGTGACCAAGGGATTTGTCCTGTAAAATCACTCAAAATGGATGGAACTGGCCAGACCCAATTTTGCACACAATTAAATAAAAGATTTGCCTGTTGCCCATTTTTCACTCATGTCATCTGATAAAACTGTAAGTACTTTGAGGGATGAGCCATTTCTTAATTGTGCATTTACATCCTCTTAGCTGCACAGCTGGCTTCTGAAATCTGGATGGAGATTCAATTAGAGACCTGTGTCGGGGTGATGCTAAGTCTGTGATTGCTCCCCCTGGGATGGTGGGGCCGGGGACACATCACCTCGCCCAAAGGAAGGCTGAGGACAGCTTCACATTTACATCTACAAGGAATGATCAGCATGGGTAACACTGCTGATTGCCGAGCAGAGGAAGGGAGAGAAGGGATGGCCTGCACTTTCATAACCGATGACCCGTAGTTACCGGGTAGCACCAGCTCACGGCTGACTCAGACAGTTAATACCAAACAGAGGTTTGGTATTAACTGCCAAAAGCAATGCAAGGACTACAAGCAGGAAAGATCTGACTTTTGTAACAGCAGACTTCTCCAGGCTGGCAGTCTGGGGTCAGGCGCTCTCACTGAAAACACGGATACCCACCTGGTTGCTTACGACAGATGCCTGGGAGTCCCTGCGTCTCCTTACCCCACCCCTGTTGGTGTGCGTCAGGTCCCACTGGCTGTGCGTGTATCTGCCTGCTTTTCCCCGTCATCCTACTCACCCTCATGTCACCATCCCTTGCACCTGGGTGCCTGTCACATCCTCCTAACTTGTCTTCCTGCCTCCATGCTTGGCCCTTGAGTCTTCTCTCATGGTAGCAGTTAGGTGGTCTTCATTCAGCATAAATAAAATGCTGTCATCTTCTCCCTCCCCAGAGTTAAATTCTTCCCGCTGCCTTCCACATCCTCACCTTGGTCTGGTGCCCTGCTTTCTCCTCTGACCTCAGTGCCCTCCCCTCTTCCCTGCTGAGCCCCAGCTACGCTGGAACTGCCAAACCTCTCCCCTCTGGCTTTTGCTGCTGCTTTTCCTCTGCCAGAAGGCCTCACATCTCTGCCTCCTCCTCATCTGAGGTCTCAGCTAACTGTTCTCTCCCTGACGATGCCTCCTCTGATAACCATTTCTAAGCAGGGCCCCGCGATTGTTTATTATTATTATTATTATTATTTTTATGAAGGTATCATTGATATACACTCTGATGAAGGTTTCACAAGAAAACAATGTAGTTGCTACATTCACCCATATTATCGAGTCTCCCCCCCATGCCCCACTGCAGTCACTGCCCATCAGTGTTAGGAGCCCTCAATTTTTCTCTGTTTTTGCATGCTGTTTCTTCCTGGCACTTTCACTGACTTGAAGTTATGTATTTATTGTGTGTTTACTTGTTAACTTCTCTATCCCTTACTGGACTGGGAGGGTCACTAGGATGGACCCATGTCTGTAGCCCCAGTAACTAGTGCAGCACCTGGCGTATAGTAGGTACCCCATACTTTCTGAGTGAAGGAAGGGAAGAAGCTGCATTCGGAGGGGATGAGAGAGCCATGTGACTAAGTCCATGTCTGAGTGGAGTCCACTTCTGCCCAGACCTGGGAAAGGGGGGCTTACCTGGTATCTGGTGGGCTTGCTGAAACTGTTATTTGCTGTCAGGTTTTCAGAATTCCTTATGCCAGCCTGGTAGCGAGCCTTCTGGAGAAGAGAAAACCCCAATACATAATACATACATACAGGGTAGAACTTGAACAGCACCCACATATGGGGCTGTCTCTAAAAAGAGGACCCTTGGGAGGCTGATACATCCATTGCTGCTTGGCTTACTACAACACTGTTCCTGGGGAGTTTAGTTCTGTAGGATGTCAGTGGTTACAGAATATTGTTTGGTCCACATTGTCTGGGAAACACTGAATTAAAGTTATATGGGTGTCTTTCCTCTAGGACTCCTCAGAGATTTTAATATGCTAATAAATTTTGTGACTTTCAGGAGGAGGAAATAATGGTCAGAGAACTTTCTTCTCTGAGACCATTCTCCAGGTCCTTTCTGGAAAGAGCTATTTTGCTTCCAAGTCCACTAAGAGGTTCCCTCAGGGGGGTCACTTATCGATCAGGTGGCTTGCTAAGCCCCCAGCAATGTGCACCTCTCAGGGACAGCGCACAGAAGGGGAGCCCCCACAGGCTGCCCCACCTCTGCTGGTGCTGCAGCTTTGCGGAGGTGCCGCAGATTCAGAAAAGCAGTGGCCCCACCCGGCTCCTGAGTCCCCCTTGCATCGGGGACACCATCTGAATCAAGCACACAACTCCCTTCTCGCCCTCCTGCTGCCTTCTTTAGCCCCATCATACCCCATGCCACCTACCTTGAATTTGGAGTTCAGCATGCCCATTTCAAGGTCATTTTCACAGCTTTTGGCCTTAGATTTGCAGAGTTTTATGAGGCACATCTTGATTCTCATTATGAGATAATAAAATGATTTAGGACTTGGCACTAGGTTAAAAGGAGCAGGTAAAGTTCTTCCTTCATCAAAATAGGACAGCCAGAGCTTTGCTCGGGCAAATTTCCACTCCACGTCTGCATCCTCCTGTGGGACGAGGGAGACCGCACACTGTCAAAGGCTGCAATAGGTCCATCTGGAGTGGGGATGTGTCTGCAGATCCTGACGGGGGATTTTCCGAACAGGAGCTATGATACATTGTGGATATTCTTCCTCCTTACAGAGGCACGCACTGCGGCCTCTGCACTCACGGAAACCCGACAAGGAGTCACTCCTAATCTCTGCCTAATTCCTCAGGATTCATGGCTGAAATCCTCAGCCAGCTCCTCCGCCCTGATTCTCCACTGGGTATTTTCACCAACATCTTCCGCTTACCCTTTACTAAAGACCTTTTCCACTGCCACTTGCTCTCGTCATCTGTTGGCATTTACAGCTCTGCTCACTGCGCCCCCAGCCACCGCAGCACCCGCTATTCACCCTTCAGAGCAGCAGCGCCCGACAGAAATAGGATGTGGGCCACAAGGCGAGCCACCCAAGTACATTTAAATTCTCTAGGAACCACATTATAAAAAGTAAACATGGAATAGGTGAAATGAATTTCAGTGATATGTTTTAGTCCATTTTTAATGGGCAACCCATTAGTTAATGATTTGAAATATTTCAACATGTAATCCTTATAAAAATTATTGAGATAGCTCACTTTTTTTTCTACTGAGTCTTTGAAATTGGTGTGTATTGCATACTAATAGCACATCTCAGTTGGGACCGGCCACATTTCAAGTCCTCAACAGGTACATAGTGTCTACGTACTGGACACCACAGTGCATTTCACTACGAAGTGTATTTCTTAATGGTCTGGGTGCTGCTGGGAGGATGTTAAGAGATTCTGCATATGCAGCTCAAGGGAAACAGACCTGACTAGTTAGTTAGCAGGACAGTCTGGCCAGTTGCTTTCCCTGGTAGGAGTGGTGGATTTAAGCCTCCCATCTGTTACTTCTGACTCGGTGCTCATGCCAGAAAGCGAGGTGGGGCCCCTGACGTCTGAGGCCGGGGAAGAGGCATGGGATTTGGTTTGCAACCCCTCGCAGGCTGTGCGGCTTCAGGTGAGGGCCTTGGGCTTCCTCATCCGCACATGGAGACAATGCTGCCGCCTTCACATGGCCCTGTGGTCCGTGAGCCTGACTTCCTCTCCGCACAGGCACGAGCTACGCTTCAAGGGGCTGTGAACCCAGCAAGGGCGCCCTGTGAGATACAGGGCCATCACCTGCAGGCGTCACCAGCTTGTTTGCGTTTGCTGAGACCCCGTCAGCACCTGGCCTGGGTTACAGGGACAACCCATACAGGTCTTTTAGACTGGAAGCTTTGTGAAGGCAAGGGCTGCTCTTGGCCTCTGCTCAACAGCAGACAGCTGTGACAGGGACACCCCATCTGAGAGAGAGGGTGGTACAACGGTGAGAGCGCAGGCTCTGGAGGCTGCCAGGGCTCAAATCACGGCTCTGTCCCCTTCTAGCTGTGTAGCCATGGCAGGTGACTTAGCTGCTTCTCAGTTTCCTTGTCTGAAAAATGAGGATGACAATACCTATCTCATGGGTTGTTGTGAAAATTAAAGGACTTAATGCATGAAAAACACTTAATGTCAGACACTTAGTAAACCTAGCTACTTTAGTAGCTAGTAAATTTCAGCTACTAAACATATCACTGAAATTAATTTCACCTATTCCATGTTTACTTTTTATAATGTGGTTACTAGAGAATTTAAATGTACCTAGTTTTCAGTGCCTACCTTTTAGCAAACATCTGTTGAACACCTACAGTGCACCTGGCCTGTGCAAGGTAGGTCCTGGCACAGCCAATCTGTTCTTTGCCGAACAGTCTGGCTGTGGGCGCAGGGGCCCCTGACCTGGCCTGGGGGTCAGGGAGGCTGCCCTGGTGGCTGGTGTTTGAGCTGCCGTCCAAGGGGTGAGTAGCTCTCAACCGGGTCAGTGTGGGTGAGGTGGGGAGTAGAGAAGAACAGGAGTGAGTTAGTGGGAGAGGCAGTGAGAAGGGCAAACAACTCTTTGAGAAAGTGGGTAGGAAAGGACAGGAGAGAAAGAGGTCAGGAGCTGGAAAGTGAGACAGGATTTTTTTGTAGTTTTTATCTTTTTAAGATCAAGAGAATTATTTAAAAGCTGACAGGAAGTATTAGATGGAGGGGGTGTGCAGGTGCAGCAGGGATAACTGCAGTGGCTCCCGGGAGGAGGGAACACAGGCAGCAGGCGTGGGCAGGGCTGCCGGGCTGGGTGGGGGCAGGCCTCTCTCCCACCCATGGGCCAGCAGTGCAGGGATGGCAGGGGCACAGGCAGGCGGTCCACGGATTCAGAGAGCAGCTGCTCAGGACGCACTGCCTGAATACATGAGCCTTCTCATGCAAAGATGTCTAGACGTGCCTTCATCTAAGTGCACTGTGACTGGGCGTACCGGCCACTGCCCAGAGGCTTCACTCTGCCTCTCAGTGTCCTTGCACTCGAGGTGCTAGTTAGGATGGGGAAGGACACATGCTGTTACCTGACAAAGAGCAGCTCAGAGCCCAGCAGGGAGGTGTGGGATGCTGTGCTCTCTCCAGCTCATGGCACCGTGCTGTGGTGGAGCGCTTGCCCACTCCTGCCTCAAAGTAGTGGGCCTCTCTCTTGCCAATCACTCGGCTTTACATACCACCTTCATTTGGAGCAAAGTGGGATGTGTTTGCTAGGATGGTGCAGACTGCCTGGGGTGAGTGGTACAGAGACCCACAGATTGTTTCTCTTACTCGTGGGGAAACTGAGGCCCAGAGGGGCAGGGAGGGCTAGTTGGCAGCAGCTCATTCACACAGGTGACCATACACATAAAGCAGTTTGAAAAAAATATGTTTGTCCATCAGCTGTGCTGCATTTCCTGTGGGTGGCGGCCTCTGGGGAGGCTAAGACTTCCTGCCGGCTCACCTCTTTCTCTCACCTCTCACCTCTCACCGCTTTTCCTTACACAGTCTACCCTCTTGCAGGCAAATAAACCAGACTGTTTCACCCCCTCTGCCTTATACATGTTGTTCCTCCTATTTAGAATACTCTTTTTTTTGGTGGGGGGTGTGTGTATGGACCAAACATTCCCTCCTAAAATTTGTATGTTGAAGCCTTAATCCCTAGTATTTTAGAATGTGACTGTATTTGGAGATAAGGCCTTTCAAAATCTAATGAAGGCCAAGTGAGGTTATAAGGTGGGACTCTCCTCCAGTATGACTAGTGCCATCATAGAACAAGAGAGGCAGGGATGCATGTGCACAGAGGAAAGGCCACGTGAGGACCCAGCGGGAAGGCGGCCGTCTGCAAGCCAAGGAAAGGGCCCTCTAAGAAACCACCCTGTGGTCTTGAACGTCTCGCCTACAGAACAGTGAGGAAATGACTTTCGGGTGCTAAGCCACCCGGTCTGTGGGATTCTGCTATGACAGCTGTAGCAAACTGATACATGGAGGTCTTAAGTCTTTTCTATGGGAGAAATACACAAATAACTGTTTCTAATAAAAGACAAGTACAGTGCACAAGAAAATGTGACAGTTCCCTTTCAATCTCCTCTTTCCTCTTGCTCCCTTCCTCGGGGGATGTTCAGGGTCAAGGGTGTGGTACTGTTTCTCTACCTTTTCTACTTTTCCTTTCTGTATATGCATGCATTATTATGTAAATAAGATGTTACCTATATGTGTATTTCTACAACTTGCATTTTTCCACCTAACGATATCATAGGGATTTTGCTGTGTTAAGACAAAAATTTTTTCTCATTGTATATACACTGTCCTAAGATCTATACTATATCTTAGTTTATTTAAACTTTCTGGTATTGATGGGTTATTTCCAAGGTTTTCCTTTAATGAACATCTATGTGAAATTGTATTTCTGCATGGATTTGGTCCTAGAATTGGAATTGTTGAGTCAAAGGGTTAATGATTTTACTTTAATTTTTAGTTTGTTTACTTAACTTTATGATAAGTAAAACAACAATATGATTTATAAAACATAAAAAGGTATAAAGAGAAAAGCCTTCCACCCACCATGTCCCCAACCCTCCCCTCTCAACCCCTCCCCTGTTCTGCGGTTTCTTGAGTACCCTTTCAGAGGCTCTTTTCTTTTTCAAATGCTTATACAATAAAAAATGAGTATGTGGTCCCTTTTCTTCCTCTCTTACATGAGAAAGAGCACATGGTATACATTGTTCTGCAACTTGATTTTTTTTTCACTCTAACTGGAGGTCTTTCCACATCAGTATATAGAGAACATCTTCCTCTCAAAATTACAAGTATCCCACCGCTCAGATGCACCCTAATCTATTTAACTAGAAGCCTATTAATACTCATTTAGTTTGTTTTCATTTTCTGGCTGTTCCAAACAAGGCTGCAATCAATACCTTATGGTTTGTGCATTTTAGATTTTGATAAATTGCCTCCCAACTATCTCATCTGTTCAGCAAGATTGTATTAGTCTTTGACTGGCCTTCAATCATCACTTCTGGATGCTCCCTTCCCCCGTAGTCAGTCACAGCTTGCTTAGAACCTCCTGCACCTGGTTGATCTCCTCTGGGTGAGTTTGCCCCAGGACACAGCAATTTGCTGATTGAAGCCTCTGTTCTCCTCCAAGGACTGAGTTCTTTCAGGGCAGGGGCTCTGTCTTAGTCATCTCTATATTGCCGGTGCTTAGCACAGGCGTGGCATACAGTTGGTACTTAATGAATAATGTGTGCATGGCTTCAGAAGGGAATGTGGCCTGAAAATACAGTCATTCCAATTTGCCATAGGTCACCTGCATGCTGTCCTGGGGAGACACATGTAAAAGAGGAAAGATTCGTGACCCTGATTCTTTCTGCCACTTGGACCATTTTACATGTGGTGCCTGCTGTGTCAACAGCCCCCAGGCTGTTGGAGGAATCCAGGAAGAATGCTGGTTGTTTGCTGTTCTGGCCTCACATTTAATAACACAAAGGCTTTTAAGATCATTATCCTCATTTCTGAAAACAGCAGTGTAAATTAAACCAAGGGGGAGAGAGCATTTTCAGTGAACTGGTCTTACCTCAATTTCCTGATAGGAGTTGTTGATCATGGCTATTAGCATATTGAGCAGTACTACCACCATAGTGACGTTGTAAACGCCATAGAGAACGTAGCCGATGTTCTCAATGAACTTATGGTCGTATTTCAGCACCACCGAGATCACTTCAGACAAGCCAAAGATGGACCAAAATAAGGTTTTAAAACTTTCTTCAACCCTGCAAGGGAACAGACAGTCCTTTCAGGCTGTTTGCATCAGCTAACACTTCTCATAAGAAAATTGCCATTACCCAGACTTCAGCGGGTACCCTGCAGTGGGGCTGGTGCCTGCATTATGAAATAATGAGATATCCAGATTTCCAAGAATATTACAAAGCACAGGCTCTTTCTTTTCCATTCAGTCCATTTACTGGGACTCCCGGCTGTGGCATCGTTTTTATCTTGTAATTAAACATTTAAAATTAAACACCAAGGGCAAATGTTTGCTCTTGTTTTAGCCTTTTAGCCTTAGAAAGAACACTCTTCAATAGTCTCTTGAGTGTCTCTTCTCAGACTTGCAGCCCTGTGTGAAGGGGTAGAGGGTGGCACCCACGGAGGAGTTAGCATCAGGGTGCCCGGCCCTTGCTGGGCACTTGCCAGAGCAGCTCTTAAGCCTCATGACCACCTGTGTGGTGGCTCACTCATTACTTCCTTTTTACAGATAGAAGCACTGACAAGGTCTTACATGCCTTTCCCAGTGGCACCCAGCAGAAAAGTGGGGTACAAACCCAGGCATGTCCAAGGATTTCAAAAGCACACACTTCTAACTACTATGTTTTACTACCCGCTGGCTCTGGGTAGTGAGGCCATCCACATGTATCAAGACCCCTAAACTGGAGTTGAATTATGAGAGTGATGAGTTTGGTGTGTTCATATTTCCCAGGTAGCTGTCCAGACCTCACCCTGCAGCTTACTCAAGGTAGACGCTGCCTGTGCTCTGAGGGCAGTTCAGAGAAGGTGTGGCTTTTAGAACAGTGCTCTTTGACCCCTCTGAGCTTACAAAGTTGTCAAAATATACTAGCTTTAAGAATACACTCCAAGCACATTTCACAGTCTATACTTTGTGGCTATGATCCTACATCAGGCTTATGATATCAAACTTAATCAGAAAGCTGGCATTCGCCTGAATGGTTTAGAACATGCATGTCTATCCGATTAACATCTGAATGGTTAAGTGCAGGTCTTTTAGTTTGTATCCAGGTTTTTGGTACCATTATGAGAAAGCACTTTCTTTTTTCTCTTTAACATTTCACATTTTCAACACACCCCAAAATAGCCAGACTTAGCTAAATCTCAAAAAAAAAACAAACCCAGCATTTCTTAAGGATTGGTATTTATTTCACAAGATGTACAAAAATACTAGTTACTAGGCACTTTGGCTAAAAATCCAACTCTGACTTGCATGAATTTTCAGCTTTTGTGTGTGTGTGTGTGTGTGTGTCTAGGTCTAGCCAGCTGTTTGACTCACTCCCTATGCATCCATCCTAGAGTCTGAAAACTGAAAATCGAAGTGAATTTTTGTTATCATTATTTGATTTTGGTTTCTTTTAAAATTGTGAGTTTGGAATTTTTAATTTATTTTGGTTTTAGTAAGAAGGAATTTAGTTGGGAGTTATAAGTAATGACTGGATATTAAGCTATTATTTTGGAGGTCCAGCTCCTGATGCTATTTGGAGACCAGGACGCAACTGTTTCCTCATGCAAGATATAGCATCCATTTTGTGTCAAAAAGATGCAATTCAACATGTGGGCAGGATTCACGGCAGGTATTGTCTTCCGTGAAGAAGTAATCTTTCAGTTACCACCCTGGTGGAAGGGAACAGTGGCAGAGAGCAGCCCAAACCACTGGCTGAGCCCCAGGTCCGGCACTGGAAGGAGACAGCAGATGCGATCTCTCTGACATTGTTCTTTTCCCAGCAGGCTCAGCAGGGGAGCTGGTGGACACGCTGTGTGAGGGAGGGGCTGGGCAGCCGGGCACTGGTTCAGGATGATGCATTTACCATGAACAACCTAAGAGACAGACAATGCATGCGACTGAGAGATGTTTTACAGAAACTCATCTGCCCTTTCCTACCCTGGAAAACCCCACAAGCCTTTGGCTGACATAAACGAAGCAACTGATGGAACTCATTCAGGGAAAGCCTTCTGAATTTTGATCAGGGAAAATGGCCTAGATTCCAGCTTGTATTTTTTTCTCATTTGCTTCTTGCTATGGATTTTGCCACTAAGTTCTGATTCATCCTTGCTGCCTTCACTTAGGCATTCTGTGTCAATAATCTGCAGGAAGTGGAGCTGGCCCATTAAGCAGTACGTGTTCTAGTAAAAGAATATTTACAGATACTTCCACCAACTGTGCCTTAGATCCTCCCCTCCCAGCACCCCCAACCCCAGGCTTGCAGTGCCGGTCTGTTTGATCTGTTGTCTGGCTTCCAAACAATCTTTACACCTTTTTCATTTCTATTCTATAGTTTAAGGATTAGCCTCTGGACTTGAATTTGGCCATGACCTCCACGAGAATCTAATTACAAGAAGCCCAGATTCACTGGGATTGCCCGAGTCCATGGCACCTGACTGGGCAGGAAGGGGTGGGGTCTTAGCCCAACGACACATTTTTAACAATCTTTTCCAAGTTCTTTAGGGAGTGTCTATAAGCCTCACTTCCTTTTATTATGAGGCAAAATGGGTTGCAGTAGCAAGAACCCCTTTAAAGAAAAGCTGGGTCCATTGGCTCAAATCATCCAAAATGGCTAGATTCACCTGAGGATCTCTTGGGTATTTCATTTGCACTCAGTGCTCTTGACATGAACAGGACTAACTGAAAAGACTGATTTTGTTATTTCTCAGAGAGGATCTTATGGGCTGAGTTATGCTTAATTTGCTGGGCTAAATGGTGAGCAAAACCAAATATTCTATCCATAGCTCAAACCAAATAACTAAATAAGTTCTGAATGGAATTGAAGAGTTCAATGCTAAAAACTACATGATCAAAAAACTAGAATAAAATATTGGTATTTATATAATATTGGGTTGGGAGAGGTTTCAGAAACAGAAAGGGAAAGGAGAGAGATGATCACATGAAACTATACTTGCATATCAAAAACATAGTAAGTAAAAATATAAGAGAAAAGAATTCGTATTTGTAACACATGACAATGAATAATGTCTTTCTTATATAAAGAGCTCTTAGAAATCAATATGAATATGACAGCCTAGCAGAAAGAAAAAGGGAGGGAAAAAATTCCATGAAATCTAGATGTTTTTTTATGGTGACAAGAGCTCCACAATTAATTGATATGCCATGGTAGTGGCATCTTCTGGTTAAATATGTGCCAAGAATTAAACAAAACTTGTTTTTACTGTCCTGAGTGGATAAAGACCTGTGTTACCTTGACCTTGGAAACTACCATGATACATTCTTAGAGAGAAGGCTGGCCTTGCAAAGGAGTCAAAGGCACCTTACTAATCCCAAGAGCTTGGGCACTGGTGCTGACTGCAATGTTTCATGAGTTTGTGATGCTCTCTGAGTCATGCATGAACCATCACCCACAATTTTCAGGACTGTGAGACCCAGGGCATGGGGCAGAAGGCAGTCACTGTGGAGGCTGGAGGTGAGGGGCTGTGTTTCAGGAAGAAGATATCTTGGAATAGGCTTGATACTCACCATGAAGCAACTTATCTCAAAAGCCCCTCCAATCAACTAGCTGGTTTCAAGGCTAAACCTGAGGTTCTGTCCTGAAGGGATGGTGGTCACTGGCTCCACATCCTCCTCCTAATCACTCTGGCCACCTGCAGAGTTCGTGACAGACTCCTTCAAGTGTGTCCATCACAGGAAGCTTCACAAGATAGCAGGAGGAGTAAGAACAAAGGTGCATGCCTGGGTTCAAATCCGAGCTCCGCCATGCACTGGCTGTGGGACTTGAGGCATGTTACAGAACCTGTTCAAGCCTCCATTTACTCATCTGTAAAAGGGTTAGTGGTGCCTTATTATTAAGTTGCTGTGAATTAAATGAACAACCCATGTGAAGTATATAGTAAAAGCTCAGTAAGGGTCACTATTATATTTATTCATCTATTTGCCAATACTAAATGAGCTATGGACGATGTGCCAGGCACTGTACCAGGTGGTAAGGATACAAGGGTGCCCAGACTTGTTTCTGTCCCTGTGGAGGTCCCAGACAGGGTGAGAGAAGGCTGTATGGCTGTAGGCAAGGATGCCGTTTGTCTTGCCTTACTGGGGAGGGAACACACATGCGCCCATCAGCCCCTCAGGTGCTCCCACACAGGGCTGAATGGAGTTAATAATTCAGAAGTTTGTTGACTTTTCTGACAAGCCACATTTTCCTTCCTGTCTGCCAATATCGTCCAAAACCCTGGATTTCATGCGAATCCTCTTTCTGATTTCTCCAGCCCATGCTGTCTTTTAATATTTGACTCTTGGCTTGCAGTGGAAGGGACTGGAAAGTGTAGTCAATAGGCCATCCTAGCATAAGAAGTGCTCCCAGGGGAATGTCTGTGAGTGACGCTGAATAGACCGTGATTCACCCCTCTTACTGCGCGGGGGTGTTTGGGGGGGAAGGTTGGGGCTGATCTGTCATGCAGGAGGCAGGGCGAGGTAATCAGTTCTCTTCCAGGTCTGTCTCGCCTGGATGATGGGACTGTAATAACAGGTTGCCTGAAGAGGCAGTTGTGTATGGATCTCAGAGAACAAACTGATCAACAAGGCGAGGGTTTGGGGCAATTGTTATGAAAATTGCTGCTTCAGAAATGCCAGGACGCCCTCCCTCCGGTATCATGGAACTGGCCCCCACCCCAAACGGCTAAGTTCACTTACCTACCCACATGTGCACAGAGCAGGCTAACATTAAGCAGGAGGATCAGCCCCTGAAAGGCTGTTCTCAAGTCCGGAAGACAATAGCTACTGCTGTGCTGGAGTTCTGCTGAAGCAGAAACGATGCTCCCCTGCCATCCGAGCTGGAGTGATGGAGGAAGGTGGTTGGAGTATAGAAAGACCCTGCCAGGGTGGCTGTTTGTCTGATGCCCAGACCTGGAGACCGAGAGCAACTGGACCAGTCTTGCAGAAGGTCAGAAGAGGGAGTCAAGTGCCTGAGGAAGGCTGAACCCGCCTCTGCCCTGCCCTGCGAGCCTGTGTCCTCTGAGTCACTGCCAGGTTCATCTCGGG